GTATTTTTAGTAGAGACGGGGTTTCACCATGTTGACCAGGATGGTCTCGATCTCTTGACCTCGTGATCCACCCGCCTCGGCCTCCCAAAGTGCTGGGATTACAGGCGTGAGCCACGGCGCCCGGCCCTAATGTAAAACTTCTTAAGGACCCTAGAGAGCCAAGAACAAAGGGCCTTTTGGAAGTAGTTACTGCAGGCACTCCCACAGCCTTTGACTTATCCCTGTAGCTAGTCAACAAGTCTTTGCCAATACCCCACCTACCAAAATTAGACTTCTTAAAAAAAGAATAAAAAGCAGTTCTGAGCACCCAACTGACTGTTTCCCTCTTACAGAACACTTAAGGAGTTCCGTGATCGACCGAAAGGACTTAATAATCAAAAGGATTAAGCCCAAACCCCAGCAAGGAGATGACATCACAGTGGTTGATGTGGAGAAGCAGATCGAGGCCTTCCGCAGCCGCCTGATCCACATGCTGGGGGAGCCTCTTGTCCCCCAACTCCAAGACAAAGTGCACTTGTTGAAGCTCCTGCTCTTCTATGCTGCAGACTTGAACCCTGACGCAGAGCCCTCTCAAAAGGGCTGGAGCAGCTCCTGAAGGCCTTCCAAGCACTGAATGCCAAGAATACCTCCTGAACTCTATCTCCAACTACTTAGAAGCTCTACAAGTATGAAAAGTGGCTAAAAATCTTACAGGACCAAACCCATATTATTTAATCAGTAGGTTATAATTTCTAACTCTAGTAAATATCTTTTTTTAAATAATCCTATCCTAGCCTGTTCTCAAATATGGCTTAAATATACAAGGTATATATATTTTTTAATAAATTATTTATACTTTTTTGAAACAGGTTAATACTATGTATACTACATGTTTAACATTTTCATTCAAGATGTGAAAAAATCCCTCTGCTGAACCCACTCTATACACCAATATTGTCATTCAAGGTACCAACGACCTGTTTCTGGAGAGAGATGCTCATTTTTCCCTAATGAAATATAAGCATTCTATGTTAGACCTGTTATATTGCCTATTAATTTGACTTTGTAATGGGGGGGTAAGAAACAAAAGGATCAAGTGTGTTACAAAACATTTGATGTTAAAAGGATACAATAAAAAGGCAATCGTTTTTCCAAAATACCAAGTTCACTGTGACTCTGGATAGGCAGAGTGGAATAACTATTGTTAAAAGGACAAAAAAAAATAGCCACATTTGAGAAAGTAGTAAGGGTTTTTATTGTCACAACGAGATCATACTAGAAGACACAAATAAATTAGACTCTAGGGCCTCTATGGAAAGGTCAGCTTCTTATACAGACAAGGTACTATCCAAACAAAACACGGGGCTTTGAGACAGTTTTCAAGACAATGACTGAACTTGTACACAGTGAGGAGGAATTAAAAGGTGGTTTCACTGTTTCCCTCCCTCAGTAAGGTTATGTGTTGCATAAAGAGATGAGGCTCATTTTGGTGAAAAATGCTTCCATACAGAAAATTTTGAATTCATTCACCTCCCCCGAAAGACATTCCAGTCCCTGACCTGAACAAGGAAATCAAAATAAATAAGGTAACACCACTGGCTTCACATGAACCTCAAGAATATAATCTAACTGTACCCACCATATCCTTTACTTTAAAAAAGTTTAATGTCCATTTACCTATACCAAATCAGTAGACTGAACTTTCTCTCTTAGCAAGTTTTTAACCAAATTGGAGTTAAATTAATCTCACTTTAAAGTGCAAGAAAGGCTCTGGTAGACTGGTGTTTGTCCTATGGCATAGACAGAGGAGCACACCTCCCGCAGGTGTGCCTAAAAGGGCCCACATGAAAAACTGGCTGCAGGATAGTGATCCATTAAGCAGGGGGACTCAAGGTTCAGCCTAGAAAGAAGGATCCCTGCCAAGTCTGGCTTTTACCTGTACCCAGGTCCCAAACAAATCTTGAGTCCCCTAACTGGTAAGACTGGAGCACAGCATCAGCCATCAACAGGGCCAGAGTCATCTTAGCGAATCAGTGAGCAACTCTACGCTATGATTTGTCAATGCTCACATGGATAGTGATAAAGGAATCAAGAAGCCTGGGCTTTGGAACAGCACATACATTCTTTACCTAGTAAGCAGTGATCAAAGTTCTTACCTAGGGTAAATGATGAAAAAACGGGTAATGAGGTCCCCATTGACCACTGCTGAGAATATTTCGTCTAACTTTAAAGCAATACAAAATGGCTTCTTCCATACAAGGGCAAGCTTTGTACTAGTTTCTCAAAAACCAATTATGTCTCCAGCTCTAGCCTCAGTTTAACAGGTTTTTTACTTTATTTTTTATTTTTATTTTTTTGAGATGGAATCTCACTCTGTCGCCCAGGCTGGAGTGCAATGGCATAATCTTGGCTCACTGCAACCTCCACCTCCTAGGGTTCAAGCAATTCTTGTGTCTCAGCCTCCCGAGTAGCTGGGACTACAGGCGCACACCATCACGCCCAGCTAGTTTTTTCAGTAGAGACGGGGTTTCACCGTGTTGGCCACGCTGGTCTTGAACTCCTGACCTCAGGTGATCTACTTATCTTGGCCACTCAAAGTGCTGGGATAACAGGTGTGAGCCACTGCGCCTAGCTGATTGACAGTTTTTAAATATATCTTTCCTATGTCAGAATCAAGGTAAAAGGGGAGTGGCGTGCAAGAAACCCTCTTCACCAGAATCCCTGGAGAGAAAGGTCTCTAGAAGCCAGTGGGTGTGAGCACATTCAAGTCACGAGGTTTGAGATTATGGGCCCGTGGTGGCTGTTTCTTCCCTTCCATCACTGGGATGTCCATCTTGGGTGGCTTCAAGGCTGCTGGATCTTCAGCCATTCGGTTAGTCTGGGCACGGATCAGTTCCATTGGAGAGGGCTTCTGGGCTCCTCGGTAGGCCTGGGTGGCAAAACTTCCTACAAAGTGAACCAGAGTGCAAATGATTTCAAAATCAGTAGGCAGCTCCTGAATTACAATATGGTGAGATGCCTGCCATGCTGCTTTCTTTTCTGAAAGCACTGCCTTACCAGAATCATACTTCTGAAGGGATCTCGGTCCAAAGAGACTCCACTTATCTGACAAGTTTCTGTCCTTATCCCCACTTCCAGAGTCCATGGTGCTAGGATTTGGGGCAGGTAAGGCTGTCGAAGAACCAGAAGTGAACCAGCCCCTGGAAGAGAAAGAAAAAAACATATCCTAAATAAAATACCTCTTCCTTCACCCTTAGAAATGTCTCACACCAAAAGAACAGAATTTGAAGTATTCCTTCTCCCTCAGAATCCACAAGCTTAAATACAACCTCGTCTGCCACCCTAGCTTTCCTAAAGCTCACAGGTCCTCGGAAGGGTCACAGGAAGGGCTCACCTTGGTCTCTGCTTAGGTGAAGAGTGAGGACTGGTGCTGGGGGTGGACTGGGCTGATGCAGGCTGCCTCTCTTCTTTTGTTAGCTCTCCACTCTGTAGCTTTAGTTTCTGCTCCGATGGGTAAGAAGAGAGACTTTAAAAATGAAAGCAAATTTAAAACAGCTACGTCTGGGTATAAACAATTTGGTTTGCATTCCAACTTTAGGCACAAGACGTGGAATGATTTTGGATTATCTGACATAGTCCTTTCTTCCTGCCATACTAGATGGAACTCCATCTCCCTAAAAAATGTGTTCATTCTACACTATATCGCAAATATCCCCGTACTTAAAGCTTTACACTACAACTTTTACTTTCAGAAAAGTGAAGCAATTTCTCCGCATTCACCCAGCCGGTAAAATGCAAGAGCCAGAACTCAAGCTGCCAGCCTTCTTGGCCTCTTAAGCAGGGCTTAGGCTCTTGTCTCGCTGCTGTTCTTACCATGGACATGCCCTGCTATTCCCAGTCTCTCCAAGCCAAGACTCAGGCATGCTGCTTCTCTTCAGTAAATGCTTCCTCTGAGGAAGCTTCATTCTCTCCTTACCTCCCACAGTCAGCTACCCTGGGTTCCCTTAGCACCGTGAGCATTCCTCTATCTGACTCACAGTCTAGCAGGGAGAGACAGGTCATTTCAGCTCTTCTAGAGCAAGGCTCCCATGTTGTCTACTCCCTCCAGGCCTGCCTGCCACTGCTTAGCCCAAGCTGCATTCCAAACAATGATCACGTTTGAATTTTCTCAAACACTCAACAGATCCATTCATGTAAGTTGACAGTCTGTTACAAGATGTAAGTTACAGCTAGCATTTACGGGCAAGACACAGAAAACGGGTCAACCAAAGTCAATCCTACCATTATATAAGGTGAATTGCTCAAATAGAATTCTCACTGACCTATCCTGGAAAGTTCTGTTAAGTGTCAAAGGTGCCCCTCTCTGGAAGCATCTGTCTTGTTAGAAGGCTTAAACTGGCCACCAGCCCAACCCTGATTTCCTATAGCAGTAGTTTGAAACCTAGCCTGCAGAAGAATCATCTGGAATGCTCGTTACGAAATGCAAACAGGCGCAGTGGCTCACACATGTAAACCCAGCACTTGGGAGGCTGAGGCGGGTAGGTCACATGAGGTCACGAGTTCTAGACCAGCCTGGCCAACATGGTGAAACCCCATCTCTACTAAAAATTAGCCGGGCATGGTGGCACATGCCTGTAATCCTAACTACTTGGAAGGATGAGGTGGGAGGATCGCTTGAACCCAGGAGACAGAGGTTGCAGTTAGCCAAGATCTCAACACAGCACTCCAGCCCAGGTGACTGCAAACAGGCCACAATGTTTTACATCCCCACCCACAAACCACTAGATCCGTTATTCCTCCTTCCATATACTGTACACTATGATCCTTTCCTGACTCTTGTGCTCTCCTCATCATGCCATCAGAACTCTTAAAGCTTGGGACAAACCTGGATTCTGACTCACCCTTGCCTACATAAGCCAGCCCAAGTTTCTTAATTGTAATTGTGTCCCTTCACAATCTGCCCCTGGCTCCCTTATGAGCCCCTTCAGGAGCCAGATTTCCAAGCTGCTTTGGAATAAGGAGGAAAAGGCCAACAGGAAGTAAGGCATCAGGAGACTTGGGTTCGGGTACTATGAGTGGCTGAATAGATGACCTTGAATCCCAATCTCCTCATTTACAAAATATGGAGAAGAGCATCTGCCCCAAAAGGTGATTGTGAGGATGAAATGAATGCAAGGGCTTCACAAATCACACAGCACTATCCAGTATGAGTGGCTTTCTCTGAAAGAAAGTCATTTGAAACTATTCATTCAAATATTTGGCTATCATTAAATTCACCCTTACCAAAATTCTTCATTTATAGAAATGAAAATAGCAAAAACATTCCAATTCCACATTTGATTTTAACTTCTTAAGAATTAAATGCAGAGCAGGATGTTCCTTTCCAGTTAAACTGTTACCTTTACTGAGGCTGCCCAGTTCTCCCCAAGATACTCCACGTTTGCTTTATGGTTCATAAAGTGCTCATATGTATATGTAAGCTGAGACTCTCACTTGATCCTGCTAACCAGAAGTAGCAAAACAGACACCCCCACTGTATAGGTGAATAAGCAAAAACTACAAGGCTAAGAGCTCTGAAGCGAGACTAACTCCACACCCCCAACTAACTGAGCTGGTAACTTTGAAACCACAGCCACATTTCAAGCCATGAACACTGATGGTTTTGTTTTTTGAAAGTTCCTAAGAGCTTACGTGGAGTGCTTCTGCCACTCGAAGGTACTTGGTCTCCTCAGTGGTGAGGCCCTTGTGGGGTGTGTAGCCAGCATCTCTCAGCCCTGCCTGTCGCCCAAAATGCTGAATGCTTTCCTGGGTCTGTTCTGGGAACAGAGGAGATGACAGTCACGCCCATTCCCCTCTCCCATCACAAAATAGGGAAGACAACATGGATATCTGCTGTTCTCCCCAGAAGCAAAAGACCACAATGACAATCCAAAGAAGAGGAGAGTTTCCCCAGAGAGGCACCGTAGCAGTAATTCTGAACCTCACACAAAGGTTCTCTAGCCAGAAAGAAGCCTTCCCTCCCACCAAGCTGAAGAGGTTATTCCTAAAGGGAGAGCTGAAGAACCTTGAGGTCAATACTCGAACATTTCTCTTAATTATACACAGTGACATTTTCTTTGTATCGAGAAATACAACATGGGGCTGGGCGTGGTGGCTCACGCCTGTAATCCCAGCACTTTGGTAGGCCAAGGCAGGCGGATCACCTGAGGTC